GATGATTGGGTAGGCATAGGGCAGGTTCTGGACAGGCCCTTGAAGGTCTTGCTGGGGAGTTTGGATTTTGTTCTATAAGCAAAATGAAATCATTGAAAGTTTCTGAAAAGGAGTTTTAATGTTATAGGATGATTAATCTGGAAATAAAATGTAGTATAAAATAGAGGTCACATACACTGTGAGCCAGTTAGGAGGCTAATGCAGTGGTATATTCACGTACTAAGTATTTACTGTGTGTGTAGTTTATACAGAGCATTGCGTCAAACTGTAGAGCAGCTATACTTTTTTCTGCCCCCATCCCATCCCCCTGGAATGGCAGTTCTTAAAGTCCATTGTGCCTAAGATTTACCTACAGAGCATAATTTTAATGCATATTTCCAGTCTCCACACCCAAATTAGTAGGTCTATGATGAGACCCCCAACATTTCTATCTTCAAACCACAAAGCCTGTGGTCTCTACAGATACAGGTCAAGTAGTGTCACAGGGGATACTGAGTTTAAAAAAAAAAACAAACCAACCTATGTAGCTTCTGACCTCAGATAGCTTATATGATCATATGAGAGATGAGGTGAATTTATAAGTAACTCAGAGAAACAAGAAACAGATTATTTTGCACCTGGAGGGGATGGAGGGTGGATAGGAAGTAACATACTAGTATTGGCTTTAAAGAATCTGTAGGTTTTGGACCCACCTGTGGCAACATTGGGGAAAGACCTTATAGGCAGTGGAAATAATAAAAGCAAGAATAGGGGCCCCTGGGTGGCTCAGTCATTAAGCATCTGCCTATGGTCATGATCCCAGTGCTTGGGATCTGGGCTCCCTGCTCAGTGGACAGCCTGCTTCTCCCTCTTCAACTCCCCCTGCTTGTATTCCCTCTCTTACTGTCTCTGTCATAAATAAATAAAATCTTAAATAGATAAATAAAAGCAAGAATATTTAGAAGTTGTTTAGTTTGGTTAAAGATATATGAGTATTCAAAATAAACATTACAAAGACAGGTTGGGGCCAGATGCTGAAAGACCTTTTAAATTCCTCCTTTCTGAGTTTGGACTTTATTTTGTTGGCAATAGGGAATATTGAAGAATTTTGACAGGGTCATGATATGACCAGAGCTATAGTAGAGGAAGGATAGTATGGTGGTACAGTATAGGATGAACTGGGAAGGAGAGAGAAAGGAAGCAGGGAGAACAATGTGGAGGGTAATCAGAGATTACCTGAGTTTCAGGATACTGGGAATACAAAGTAGTGGGGAGGAGAAACAGATTGGAGAAAGGATACAAAAATAGAACCAATGGGTGATTAAGTGGGGGGCAAAAATAAGATGAAGGAAAGATGCTTGTAAGGAGTCTAGCCTGAGTAACTGGGGAGATACCTAAGGAGTCCTTTGGGAATGGAGGACTGAAGAAGGGGAGAGAGATTACACCTGCATATGTGTGTGTGTGTATATACATATTATATATATATCTGGATTAGGCACACACATTTAGGAATTAATCATATATAAAACAGTAGTGGAAACCTGAAAAGTAGATGAAATTGCCACAGGGGATAAGATGTCAAGGGAAGGAAAAAGAGCTAGAAAGAAGCAATCAGAGAGGTAAGGAAAGAAGTTACAGTTTCACTGAACAAATAGGAGTATAGAAGAGGAAGGAAGATGGTCAGTAGTATAAAGGGCTAGAGAGAAGTTGGGGAGAATAGCACACAAAAGGCCATTGGATATAGGAATTGGGAGATGACTGATGATCTTCGGGGGAGCAGATTCAGTGAATTCAGTGAATTGTGGAAGTGGGAGCCCAATTAGAGGTAATTTTACATGAGATTTGAGGATATGGATGTAGAAAGCATAGCTTACTTTTGTAGTAGATCTGTCGGGAAAGGAGTGTTGAGACAGGATGAGTTTGGGTATGATGGGATGAGAGGCTAGGCCAAATTGCAATAGGAAATAGAAAAGAGGAATTGTCACCAGAGAGCCTGAGGAAATAGAATTTATAGGTCTTTTTTTTAAGATTTTATTTATTTATTTGACAGAGACACAGTGAGAGAGGAACACAAGCACGGGGAGTGGGAGAGGGAGAAGTGCTTTCTGTCTCAGAACAGAGAGCCCAACACGGGGCTCGATCCCAGGACCCCAGGATCACGACCCCAGCACCCCGGGATCATGACCCCAGCCGAAAGCAGATGCTTAACAACTGAGCCACTCAGGCACCCTGAATCTATAGGTCTTGAAGACTGATTTGATGTGGAGATTTAAAGGAAAAGGATTCCACTTTTAAGACTTGGAACTGGAAGAAGGAAGATGCCACTTGGAAATATAATGAAGTCATAAATTAGAAACAAGCTTGGGTTCAAAGATGACAAGTTTGATTTTAGACATACTTTTAATATTTTCAAGGGATACTAAGTAGTAGAATGCTCCCCTTTCGTTCCAATAAATCTTCTTCCCAAGAGAAGGAGATTAGTGTCCTTGCTGATCTTTTTGGTGGGCTCTATTTGGAGGCTAAGTGCTAAACCCAGTAATCTCTCAGAAATCCCATTTGTATCTCAGTACTAATGTATTCTAATATTCAATTCTGTGTATCTTTACATGGTAAAGCATGATGAATTGTTCATCCCCAGTAACCACACAGAGAGGCCATTCAGTTCTTTCATCTAAAAGTAGTACAGTTCCAAAGACAAACCAACAACTGTCCGAAGAACTCTTGGTCCATTAAGTATAAGGGACTTTTCCTATATCCTATCCATGTGTCTCTTATCTTTCCCTCAGAGGTCTGTGTCTCAAATACCATCTTTTTTGTTCTACAGCTAAATCCTAAGGGACAAAATCCAAGATTTTCTCTTGAGCCAGGTTGGTGTAGTATTTCAATTTGATGTCAAACCCATTAAAGACCAAGTCCTGAGGGAAGGAGCATTCTCTTTTGTCCTGTGTTTTCAGAAAGACCTCACACATTTATCTTCCTAGTTTTTAATTGTCATTGTCCATGGATTGGCCTGGATCTGTTCATATTAACATTTTATAACCAAAATGAAAAGGATCTTCTTTCTGCTGGCCCCTATCTGCTGTTTTTGGTTTTCAGTAGCTGAAGTTTTCCGTTGAGGTTCTTTTAAACGCCTACATGCAAACTGAAGAGCACTCAAGCTTTGGTGGGATATCACCCACAGCTGGAGTGATGAAGGAAGGGAGGAGGGTACAAGCCTCAGGTGCATCCTTCTCTTAATTTTTTTTTCTTAAACAAAACCTCTTAAGCAAACAAATTCTATCTGAAAGCAGGCGAGACCCATCCAGAGAAAGAAGGGAATGAACCTCTTTCCATGTAGGAAATGGGTATGAATTCATATGTGACCAAGATGCATTAAATGGGCAAATTTTAAACATGTTGGACTGATCCTACAGCCCTACATCTCTTCTAATCAAAGAGTGAAATGCTATGAACCATAAACCGTGTTGAGAAGCAGAGGAACAGTGTTGCAGCAATGGCTCCTTGGTTGGTGGTTAGGCCCTGTCTTGCTCTATTAAGCAAACACAGTTAATATAGATAAAAGGTAACCTTGATAGAAGTGAAAATTGAAACTTGAGTTGAAGGTAGCAAGCCAGGCACAGCTGCAGTTGTACTTCCTCCTATGTGGCAACAGGAGCTGCACTTACTGGTGTTTTTTGGAAGGGATGCAGTTTTTTAAAGTATCTTTTCTTCAGAGTGTTTTGGTTTTTAATGTCTACACCACTGATGAGAGAGTGGAATTTGTTAGTAAGAAGCCACCTAGACTTTTTACATCTAGTGTGTGAGGTCAGATCCAAGTTCAGCATTCTAATCACACACTGGCTGTTAACTGACTGTGTAACCTTGGGCAAGTCACTGAAAAGATCTCTGGTGACAGATTTTCTTACCTGAAACACCAAAGGGTTGGAATAGATGATCCCTTCCAGCCCTAAGACTCCACTGATTTATGATTCCTCATGAGGAAGCATAACTTCCAATTTCTAAGAATAAATATTAGGAAAAGTAAGCATTTATACAGCTTATTTTATATATGAAAATCCCTGGCAAGTATCTATTATGATTTTATCAGGCAATTATTTAGGTGTTATTAGTGTCTACATAAATTTGCCTTCTTTACTTCTTATTTCTTCAGCTTAAGAGTGTTGCAACTCTTTGTAAGACAGTGCCTGGTCAGCTGAATCATGCGGGCCAGGCCCTCCTCTCCTGTCCAGTCCTACAGTTCTAGGATTTTGAGTTCCACCTGCCCTACCATGGTTGTAGGTGTGCTTCCCCTTGCTTAGGCTGAGCTCCATTTACCTATGTCAATGAAAGTGACCCCTTAGAAGAGTATGTTAAAGAATGACTTCTCTTTTTATCTTTCTCAACAGTATTTCACTAGTACAGCCAGCTTCCTCTATATACAAGGTTGTCTCATTATCAGTTCCAAGAGAAACAGAGAGATAAGACTCATTTTAGCAGTGCATATACATGGAAGGGGAAGAGGCAAAGCATGGCTCTTAAAATCAGAAAAACCATTTTAACTATTCAAATCTCACTCTTAGTTGCTTAAATTGAATGCATTTGAAGGATTAAAACAGTATTTTCTTCTTGAAACTGAAGAGCTCCACCACCTTGCCTTTTAACTGCAGCCACCAGAAAAGGTACTAAATCTGAGAACCTTTCTTCTCCCCCAATACTGGAGAAGAGTTGCTCAGAATGTTTTTTTCATGGTCACTTTAAGCAGTGATGGCTAAATCCCTTCTCTCTCATTTTCTGGATGGTCTAAAACTCTTATCTGTGTGTGTGTGTGTGTGTGTGTGTGTGTGTGTGTGTGTTCCACCGACTGTGGTTCTGAATTCAAATAATGAATGCTCATCCTAATGGTGGTTTCTTGTTTTGTAGATATACAATATTATATTAGCTTCATTTGGTATTTAATTGTCAGTTGTGGGTCTCTCTCTTTGAGCCACTTTGATAACTCCAAATACAATCATTGTTCATTTCTTGCATTTTCTTCCCTGCAGATGATTCCATGAAAGTGAAAGATGAATATACTGAAAGGGATGAGAATATTTTAAAGCCAGAGCCCATGGGAAATGTGGAAGAGCCTGAAATTCCATACGGCTATTCAAGAGAATATAATGAATATGAAAACATTAAGTTGGAAAGACATGTTGTGTCATATGATAGTAGCAGGCCAACCAGCGGCAAGATGAACTGCGACGTGTGTGGATTATCCTGCATTAGCTTCAATGTCTTGATGGTTCATAAGCGGAGCCATACTGGTAAATAGTTTTCTTTATCCATTCTTCTGAAAACTGTCCTAATGCAACCATGTGAGAAATGAAATGGTGGAATTTGGGATGACTTTTGATTCCTTTCATTGATTTTTGCTGTAATTCTGATGTATTGCTCCCTCTCTGCCTTTTCATTTACCCAGTGACTTTTATTCCTGCTTTACTATCCGTTTGGCAAACATTGCAAATGTCATGAATAAAAATACTGTAGTAAGCGGAGTGTTCTAGGTCAGTCAAATATTTTTCTTCGCCTAATAAGTAGAAGCTGAATTGTGTGATATGCTTCTTAAGCATCATTCATACATTTTTGCATAACTTTTTAAAAAGCAGACCTCCTTATTATATTGGGTTCAAATTTGATAGATGAAAGGATATAGTTTTTATTACCAGTTTAAAAATTTTATCTTCAGACAATAAACAGCCAGCCTGTAGAAATGCATACAAACGCACAGTCCCACTGAGCCCAATAGACTCCATCTGACATCTGAAACTTTAAAAAAGAAGCCCTTCTGGCCCTCCATACCTTATTAAGATTTGAGTCTGTGATTCTTTTTTTCCTCAGATTGAGATTATATTAAAAAAGAATGCTAAGTAGTGTTACAAACTTACATCTGGAGAGCACTTCCAGAGCTACTCTTGTTTTTTTGATTGGGGGGGGGATGTTGTAAAATCTTTAAAAAAAAAAAAAAAAAAAAAAAAAAAGAAGAGAAACATGACAACACAATGGATCCTGTAAATCAATGCCCAGAAGTTTTGCTTTCGTTGAAGCTGTATAATTTTACTGGTTAACAAATACTAGAACTTTGTATTCTTTAGTTGGCAAAATATCATTGGTTTTCCCCCCTCCTCAGTTTACAAATAAAAATGTAAATTAGAAAATGAAAATGACCCATGATTTCAGTGTTCTTATTCCTAATACAAAGAGGCCATTGTGAGAAAGGATTAGAGATATTAATTTTATAAGGAAGACTGTTTTAGTTGATCTATTTCTGAGGTATTGGATGATAGCAACAAATTCTGTAGACTAAATACCTACCATACATATATCTCCCATTTTGCTCTTTAGTGCTTCAAGCTTCTAAATCCTATTAACAGCTGTCAAAACCTGGTAAACTATTTAGATGCTTTCACAATTTGTTTAATTGGATAGTTAGAAAATGGCATGCTAGAAAAGCCCACCCTCCCTACCCCCCCTTTCTTTTAGCCTGGCTGAACATCTGTAGTATTAGGGCCTCATTATCTCTGAATTGGCATAGCAAATCAGTGGCATCATTAAAATGCCACATTAAGATGATTAAGCTTCTTTGTTATCCAGTTGACTTTTGCATGTGCTGAGGATTTCATGGTTATGACCCCTAATCCTTGTAAAACACTTAAACAACATCACCCTTTTGTGTCTTCCTTGTCTAACAGCCTCTATCTTGTTTTGCCTCTTCTCACAGTATCTCTGGCAAACTTAAGGCTATCACTCCAAACTTGTCGTTCTTTGAGTTGGATTCTGAGAGCCCATAATTCAGAGTGGAAATTCAGAATCCCCTCTTTACACTGGGAAATTCCTACTAACATGTTATCCAAGACACCCAAGTTGTCTGTTCCATTTGCCATCTTTGATAGGTTCTTCTCTCCAACTGAGCATTTTATGTGCCTGTAAAAACAAACTGAGGCACAGTTGGCTGAGACTGCTATTGCCCCTGAAGGATTTAGATGTTGGATCCTTTCCAAGACCCATTGTTTTTGCAATGTCTCAGGTGAAACCAAAAATGTCTACTCTGGAGTGCAAGCCTTTCATGTGATAACCATCACCCCAGGAAATGAAACCATGTGCATCAGCCCCAGTGAGCCAAGCCTTTGTTCTCTTCAGCCTACAAAATTCTCTCTGGGGGGTGTGTGTGTGTTAGTGTGTGTCATCTTCCTAAGAGGCCTCCAGAACATAGACAAAGATGGGAGCAATTGTACCCCAGAGTAGCTCCTTTAGGAAGAAGTTCAGTTTAATCTAATTTTCTATGGGTTAGATTCAATTTAGACATCTTTTTCCCCCCTCTGGGAATGTTTAGCAATTACCTTTATCAGCAATTTGTGGTTTGGTATGTTTTTTTCTCCACAAGTTCACTTATAAAAAATTTACTCAGGAAGCCTTTAACATTTCTTAGTATGACATACATCATACATGCAAAAAGGCAGATATAATTACATGTATACTTTAAAGAATAACAACAAAACAAGCATCCATGGACCCACCACCTGGCTTAAGAAATAAAATATTGCTAGTGCCTGTGAAGATTCTTGATAGTATTTTAAGTGGCAATTTAAGTGTCTAAGAAACATGACACGTATTATAGGAAGCTGGAATTTACAAAACTAAAATGGGAGATTATTCACATCACAAAAGTTGTATTCGCTTCATAAAAACTTTAGGGTATTTTGGAGCAGTTCACTGTATTCAAGTATTTCTTGCCAGATCTTTTAAGACTTCTGGCCTTTATTAACAGTTCAAATGTTGCTAGTCACTGACAACTGAAAATCAAAGAAAAATGAAGAGAAACATCTCTGAACGTATAATGTAAATCAGTGGAACAATATTATCAGTTTTACATGTAACATTTTATGAACACATCAACTACATTAAGGTGAACCTGTAGAGGTTAATGATATCATGCTACATACATAAAGTTGAGTGAAGTGGGTATAGGAGAAAGAATAGAAATGAGAATTTTTTTCTATGTTAGGATATCGAGGAAGACTGCATGGAGGAAATGGCATTTAAATAGCATCTGGAAGTTTGAATAGAATATTGATATGGGGGAAGGGCATTTGGTGTTGGAAAGACTGGAAAACAGGCTTGGAAAACTGCCATTAGATTGCTGCTGTAACTTCTCAAACTTTAATGTGCATAGAAATCCTTGAGGATCTTGTTAAAATGCAAATTCTGATCAAGTAGGTCTGGGGTGAGACTTGAAAGGCTGTGTTTCTAACAAGCTCCCAGGGGATGCTGGAACTGCTGATCCAAGGCCCCCATTTCGAGTAGCAAGGTTCTAGTATAGAGAAAAGGTTGATTGAGGAGGAATGAGATGATTGGGTAGGCATAGGGCAGGTTCTGGACAGGCCCTTGAAGGTCTTGCTGGGGAGTTTGGATTTTGTTCTATAAGCAAAATGAAATCATTGAAAGTTTCTGAAAAGGAGTTTTAATGTTATAGGATGATTAATCTGGAAATAAAATGTAGTATAAAATAGAGGTCACATACACTGTGAGCCAGTTAGGAGGCTAATGCAGTGGTATATTCACGTACTAAGTATTTACTGTGTGTGTAGTTTATACAGAGCATTGCGTCAAACTGTAGAGCAGCTATACTTTTTTCTGCCCCCATCCCATCCCCCTGGAATGGCAGTTCTTAAAGTCCATTGTGCCTAAGATTTACCTACAGAGCATAATTTTAATGCATATTTCCAGTCTCCACACCCAAATTAGTAGGTCTATGATGAGACCCCCAACATTTCTATCTTCAAACCACAAAGCCTGTGGTCTCTACAGATACAGGTCAAGTAGTGTCACAGGGGATACTGAGTTTAAAAAAAAAACAAACCAACCTATGTAGCTTCTGACCTCAGATAGCTTATATGATCATATGAGAGATGAGGTGAATTTATAAGTAACTCAGAGAAACAAGAAACAGATTATTTTGCACCTGGAGGGGATGGAGGGTGGATAGGAAGTAACATACTAGTATTGGCTTTAAAGAATCTGTAGGTTTTGGACCCACCTGTGGCAACATTGGGGAAAGACCTTATAGGCAGTGGAAATAATAAAAGCAAGAATAGGGGCCCCTGGGTGGCTCAGTCATTAAGCATCTGCCTATGGTCATGATCCCAGTGCTTGGGATCTGGGCTCCCTGCTCAGTGGACAGCCTGCTTCTCCCTCTTCAACTCCCCCTGCTTGTATTCCCTCTCTTACTGTCTCTGTCATAAATAAATAAAATCTTAAATAGATAAATAAAAGCAAGAATATTTAGAAGTTGTTTAGTTTGGTTAAAGATATATGAGTATTCAAAATAAACATTACAAAGACAGGTTGGGGCCAGATGCTGAAAGACCTTTTAAATTCCTCCTTTCTGAGTTTGGACTTTATTTTGTTGGCAATAGGGAATATTGAAGAATTTTGACAGGGTCATGATATGACCAGAGCTATAGTAGAGGAAGGATAGTATGGTGGTACAGTATAGGATGAACTGGGAAGGAGAGAGAAAGGAAGCAGGGAGAACAATGTGGAGGGTAATCAGAGATTACCTGAGTTTCAGGATACTGGGAATACAAAGTAGTGGGGAGGAGAAACAGATTGGAGAAAGGATACAAAAATAGAACCAATGGGTGATTAAGTGGGGGGCAAAAATAAGATGAAGGAAAGATGCTTGTAAGGAGTCTAGCCTGAGTAACTGGGGAGATACCTAAGGAGTCCTTTGGGAATGGAGGACTGAAGAAGGGGAGAGAGATTACACCTGCATATGTGTGTGTGTGTATATACATATTATATATATATCTGGATTAGGCACACACATTTAGGAATTAATCATATATAAAACAGTAGTGGAAACCTGAAAAGTAGATGAAATTGCCACAGGGGATAAGATGTCAAGGGAAGGAAAAAGAGCTAGAAAGAAGCAATCAGAGAGGTAAGGAAAGAAGTTACAGTTTCACTGAACAAATAGGAGTATAGAAGAGGAAGGAAGATGGTCAGTAGTATAAAGGGCTAGAGAGAAGTTGGGGAGAATAGCACACAAAAGGCCATTGGATATAGGAATTGGGAGATGACTGATGATCTTCGGGGGAGCAGATTCAGTGAATTCAGTGAATTGTGGAAGTGGGAGCCCAATTAGAGGTAATTTTACATGAGATTTGAGGATATGGATGTAGAAAGCATAGCTTACTTTTGTAGTAGATCTGTCGGGAAAGGAGTGTTGAGACAGGATGAGTTTGGGTATGATGGGATGAGAGGCTAGGCCAAATTGCAATAGGAAATAGAAAAGAGGAATTGTCACCAGAGAGCCTGAGGAAATAGAATTTATAGGTCTTTTTTTTAAGATTTTATTTATTTATTTGACAGAGACACAGTGAGAGAGGAACACAAGCACGGGGAGTGGGAGAGGGAGAAGTGCTTTCTGTCTCAGAACAGAGAGCCCAACACGGGGCTCGATCCCAGGACCCCAGGATCACGACCCCAGCACCCCGGGATCATGACCCCAGCCGAAAGCAGATGCTTAACAACTGAGCCACTCAGGCACCCTGAATCTATAGGTCTTGAAGACTGATTTGATGTGGAGATTTAAAGGAAAAGGATTCCACTTTTAAGACTTGGAACTGGAAGAAGGAAGATGCCACTTGGAAATATAATGAAGTCATAAATTAGAAACAAGCTTGGGTTCAAAGATGACAAGTTTGATTTTAGACATACTTTTAATATTTTCAAGGGATACTAAGTAGTAGAATGCTCCCCTTTCGTTCCAATAAATCTTCTTCCCAAGAGAAGGAGATTAGTGTCCTTGCTGATCTTTTTGGTGGGCTCTATTTGGAGGCTAAGTGCTAAACCCAGTAATCTCTCAGAAATCCCATTTGTATCTCAGTACTAATGTATTCTAATATTCAATTCTGTGTATCTTTACATGGTAAAGCATGATGAATTGTTCATCCCCAGTAACCACACAGAGAGGCCATTCAGTTCTTTCATCTAAAAGTAGTACAGTTCCAAAGACAAACCAATAACTGTCCGAAGAACTCTTGGTCCATTAAGTATAAGGGACTTTTCCTATATCCTATCCATGTGTCTCTTATCTTTCCCTCAGAGGTCTGTGTCTCAAATACCATCTTTTTTGTTCTACAGCTAAATCCTAAGGGACAAAATCCAAGATTTTCTCTTGAGCCAGGTTGGTGTAGTATTTCAATTTGATGTCAAACCCATTAAAGACCAAGTCCTGAGGGAAGGAGCATTCTCTTTTGTCCTGTGTTTTCAGAAAGACCTCACACATTTATCTTCCTAGTTTTTAATTGTCATTGTCCATGGATTGGCCTGGATCTGTTCATATTAACATTTTATAACCAAAATGAAAAGGATCTTCTTTCTGCTGGCCCCTATCTGCTGTTTTTGGTTTTCAGTAGCTGAAGTTTTCCGTTGAGGTTCTTTTAAACGCCTACATGCAAACTGAAGAGCACTCAAGCTTTGGTGGGATATCACCCACAGCTGGAGTGATGAAGGAAGGGAGGAGGGTACAAGCCTCAGGTGCATCCTTCTCTTAATTTTTTTTTCTTAAACAAAACCTCTTAAGCAAACAAATTCTATCTGAAAGCAGGCGAGACCCATCCAGAGAAAGAAGGGAATGAACCTCTTTCCATGTAGGAAATGGGTATGAATTCATATGTGACCAAGATGCATTAAATGGGCAAATTTTAAACATGTTGGACTGATCCTACAGCCCTACATCTCTTCTAATCAAAGAGTGAAATGCTATGAACCATAAACCGTGTTGAGAAGCAGAGGAACAGTGTTGCAGCAATGGCTCCTTGGTTGGTGGTTAGGCCCTGTCTTGCTCTATTAAGCAAACACAGTTAATATAGATAAAAGGTAACCTTGATAGAAGTGAAAATTGAAACTTGAGTTGAAGGTAGCAAGCCAGGCACAGCTGCAGTTGTACTTCCTCCTATGTGGCAACAGGAGCTGCACTTACTGGTGTTTTTTGGAAGGGATGCAGTTTTTTAAAGTATCTTTTCTTCAGAGTGTTTTGGTTTTTAATGTCTACACCACTGATGAGAGAGTGGAATTTGTTAGTAAGAAGCCACCTAGACTTTTTACATCTAGTGTGTGAGGTCAGATCCAAGTTCAGCATTCTAATCACACACTGGCTGTTAACTGACTGTGTAACCTTGGGCAAGTCACTGAAAAGATCTCTGGTGACAGATTTTCTTACCTGAAACACCAAAGGGTTGGAATAGATGATCCCTTCCAGCCCTAAGACTCCACTGATTTATGATTCCTCATGAGGAAGCATAACTTCCAATTTCTAAGAATAAATATTAGGAAAAGTAAGCATTTATACAGCTTATTTTATATATGAAAATCCCTGGCAAGTATCTATTATGATTTTATCAGGCAATTATTTAGGTGTTATTAGTGTCTACATAAATTTGCCTTCTTTACTTCTTATTTCTTCAGCTTAAGAGTGTTGCAACTCTTTGTAAGACAGTGCCTGGTCAGCTGAATCATGCGGGCCAGGCCCTCCTCTCCTGTCCAGTCCTACAGTTCTAGGATTTTGAGTTCCACCTGCCCTACCATGGTTGTAGGTGTGCTTCCCCTTGCTTAGGCTGAGCTCCATTTACCTATGTCAATGAAAGTGACCCCTTAGAAGAGTATGTTAAAGAATGACTTCTCTTTTTATCTTTCTCAACAGTATTTCACTAGTACAGCCAGCTTCCTCTATATACAAGGTTGTCTCATTATCAGTTCCAAGAGAAACAGAGAGATAAGACTCATTTTAGCAGTGCATATACATGGAAGGGGAAGAGGCAAAGCATGGCTCTTAAAATCAGAAAAACCATTTTAACTATTCAAATCTCACTCTTAGTTGCTTAAATTGAATGCATTTGAAGGATTAAAACAGTATTTTCTTCTTGAAACTGAAGAGCTCCACCACCTTGCCTTTTAACTGCAGCCACCAGAAAAGGTACTAAATCTGAGAACCTTTCTTCTCCCCCAATACTGGAGAAGAGTTGCTCAGAATGTTTTTTTCATGGTCACTTTAAGCAGTGATGGCTAAATCCCTTCTCTCTCATTTTCTGGATGGTCTAAAACTCTTATCTGTGTGTGTGTGTGTGTGTGTGTGTGTGTGTGTGTGTGTTCCACCGACTGTGGTTCTGAATTCAAATAATGAATGCTCATCCTAATGGTGGTTTCTTGTTTTGTAGATATACAATATTATATTAGCTTCATTTGGTATTTAATTGTCAGTTGTGGGTCTCTCTCTTTGAGCCACTTTGATAACTCCAAATACAATCATTGTTCATTTCTTGCATTTTCTTCCCTGCAGATGATTCCATGAAAGTGAAAGATGAATATACTGAAAGGGATGAGAATATTTTAAAGCCAGAGCCCATGGGAAATGTGGAAGAGCCTGAAATTCCATACGGCTATTCAAGAGAATATAATGAATATGAAAACATTAAGTTGGAAAGACATGTTGTGTCATATGATAGTAGCAGGCCAACCAGCGGCAAGATGAACTGCGACGTGTGTGGATTATCCTGCATTAGCTTCAATGTCTTGATGGTTCATAAGCGGAGCCATACTGGTAAATAGTTTTCTTTATCCATTCTTCTGAAAACTGTCCTAATGCAACCATGTGAGAAATGAAATGGTGGAATTTGGGATGACTTTTGATTCCTTTCATTGATTTTTGCTGTAATTCTGATGTATTGCTCCCTCTCTGCCTTTTCATTTACCCAGTGACTTTTATTCCTGCTTTACTATCCGTTTGGCAAACATTGCAAATGTCATGAATAAAAATACTGTAGTAAGCGGAGTGTTCTAGGTCAGTCAAATATTTTTCTTCGCCTAATAAGTAGAAGCTGAATTGTGTGATATGCTTCTTAAGCATCATTCATACATTTTTGCATAACTTTTTAAAAAGCAGACCTCCTTATTATATTGGGTTCAAATTTGATAGATGAAAGGATATAGTTTTTATTACCAGTTTAAAAATTTTATCTTCAGACAATAAACAGCCAGCCTGTAGAAATGCATACAAACGCACAGTCCCACTGAGCCCAATAGACTCCATCTGACATCTGAAACTTTAAAAAAGAAGCCCTTCTGGCCCTCCATACCTTATTAAGATTTGAGTCTGTGATTCTTTTTTTCCTCAGATTGAGATTATATTAAAAAAGAATGCTAAGTAGTGTTACAAACTTACATCTGGAGAGCACTTCCAGAGCTACTCTTGTTTTTTTGATTGGGGGGGGGATGTTGTTTCTTTCTTTCTTTCTTTCTTTCTTTCTTTCTTTCTTTCTTTCTTTCTTTCTTTCTTTTTTTGCTCTAATCCAAGACAGTAAGTAAAATAGTCTTGCTATTTGGGAATGGAGGACTGAAGAAGGGGAATGTTTTTTCTCTCCTACAGGGAAGACTCCAGAAGTAAGTTGTACACTTGCCTTGAAGTATAGCTCCAGCTGATCCCAATATGATATGAACAGATACTATCTATAAGATGAGCTTTTGCCATAGGCGTCTAATCTGTGCATATGCTTTGCCACTTGTTTGCTGGGTGATCAGAAGTCTCCTTTTTGTCCTTTTTAAAGGTGAACGCCCATTCCAGTGTAATCAGTGTGGGGCATCTTTTACTCAGAAAGGTAACCTCCTCCGCCACATTAAACTGCACACAGGGGAAAAACCTTTTAAGTGTCACCTCTGCAACTATGCATGCCAGAGAAGAGACGCACTCACAGGTCACCTTAGGACACATTCTGGTAAGTGAGAGCAATGAGCGTTCCATATCTAGTAAATATGTGTTCCTTGGTGCCCATTGAAGAAACTAGAAAGAGTTAAGTATGGAAGTTTCAATCCGTCATTCCTGTTCTGAAGGGTTACAACAGCAGAGACCTCTAGGGCTAATTACACTTCCATTAAGGCATTAATTGCTCTCCGTCTGGCTCAATGGGGATGATCATCTCCTTATCATCCTTGCTCCCCTAGAGAACAAGACAGTGAGACAGGAAAAGTCTGCTCTATAAAAATGCCTTTTAAATTTTTTTGAAAAAATTATGGTCTTCAGTATTTTCTTATGGTAAACTTTATTAAGAGATTACTTTCCTAAAAAACACACAGACACACTTTTCATTCAGAAGTCTGGACAAGCAAATGATGTACATACAGTCTGTAAGTTACATAAAAGTGTAAATGGAGTATAAATCATTGTCAGAGGGTTCCTTTTGGCCATTCTGGGCTAAAAATTTTTAAACTGGGATATAATTGACAGTATAACATTGTATTGGTTTTAGGTGTGCATCTCTTAAACCTGACTTTCTTCTTGATCAGCCTATTTATTTTTAATCTCTAGAAGATGAGCAGCAAAAGAATTCATTAAAAAAACCCAACTATGTTCTATTTTGATGTTTTCACTCTTTATTTTAACCAAGCAAGATAATAAAACTTTTTTCGACATTTAGAATTTCCCTCCTAGAAAAATAAAACTGAGTTTATTTTCAAATTTGAGACCTCATGTTCTTGATGTTATCTGACAAACTTTTTAATTGAAGGGAAAAAAAAGGTTTGTTTTTATGTCAATCCACATACTGCTGTGACTAAAACCCAGCCCCAAACCCACAACTGGTCACAATTCAGAGACTAAGGATTAAACAAGTCAGCCCCAGCAAAACCCACCACGAGAGACCGTAAGTGGTAAGAGAAAGGTTTCTTTTATAGTTCATTGTTCAGAGTAATGAATTAAGGATGAATTTGGTCCAAAAAATTAGAATAGTTCTCTTCTGTTGCTTTTTTCAAGTAAGATCCAAACATAGTGGTCACTTTTTAGATAGATTCTCGAGGACCCCACTATGCAGATAACAACATTTTTAGCCCTAGCAAACCTGCATTTATTTTAATTTGGGATTCGAGAGGGATCTTTTAGTACTTTAAGTCCCAAAACTCTGTTTTAACCAGAGCAGCAGGATTAGAAAATAAAAATCTCAGTTCCTAAAACTCTGACATATTCATAGGGTACATTTATCAATAAATCAGAAAGGCCAGCCCTGGACACAGAGTTGAAGTTATTACTTATAATTAGCTTAGTTTTTTTCAAGCCCAGACTTCACTATAACCACTTAGCAAGGATAAACTAAATTTATCCAAATATGTCAGAACTCTGAAAAATCCATCAGTTTCTGGCTGAATGTCTAACTCCCAGCATTCTTTACTTACAACCAGATGGATGTCACAAAATAAGGGATCTCTTTCTATTTCATTTTTAAGCCGCACTAACCTCCTTGAGAAGAAAAAAAACAAAAAACGGCCTTATATTTTTTCCTAAAGAAATAACATTTCATCTGGAACCAAAACACTGTGCTCAGTGATAGTCATTAAATCCAAATCCTTCCACATGTGAAAGGAGGCTATTCTTTTAAAGAAAACTTAAATATAACAGTCATTCGAAGATTATCACCTAATTCCAGTTTACTAAATTTAAAAATAATATAGCTGCATAAGTATCCAAATACCCTGGCTTCTTTCAGCAGCCTCATTCCTAAAGGACAGTTTGCACAGAGCCCCACGACACCACTTGTTCTGTAACCCCTAAGGGTCACTGAGTGCCCCCTTGTGCTCTCCTTATAGTTGAGAAACCCTATAAATGTGAGTTTTGTGGAAGGAGTTACAAGCAGAGAAGTTCCCTCGAGGAGCATAAGGAGCGCTGCCGTACATTTCTTCAGAACACGGATCTGGGTGAGACTGGTGAGTTCATTCTTTCTACACACCTGTAGTGAGCATCTCCTCTTCTAAGTGGTGGGAGACGTAGTAAACAAACAAACAAACAAACAAAAAAAGTCTGTCCTTGCAGTTTATATTTTAATGGGGAAAGGCAGACCATAAGCAAAGTAAATAAGTAACATATACAGTATATTAGAAGGTAGTAAGTACTATTAAGCAAAATGAAGTACATCCTGGGGGGAAAGAAGGTAAGTCAGGGAGGCGACATTTGAACTGACTTAAAGGGATAAGGAGAAAACCCTGCAAAGAACTAGGAAATAGCAAGTGCAAAGGCCCTGCGGCTTGAGTTTGAAGAAGTATTAAGTAGTCCTGTGTGGCTGGAGCAGAGTGGGGAAGGGAACATGAGGCCAGAAAGGAAATGGGAAACCAGATCTTATCAAGCCTTGTTGGCCATTATAAAGGGTGGCTTTTACCAAGTGAAACTGAAGATCTTCAAAGGGTTTTGAATTGAGAGGTAACATGATTGGACTTTTCATTTTAGAAGAATCACTCTACTTGCTATTGAGAAGATATTTTTATTTGCAGCAAGATTGGGATTTGGAGAGTCTAGTTAGAAAGCCATTACAGTAATTCAAGTGGGAGAAGACTGTGTCTGGGGTAGTGGTAGAGGTGATGAGAAATGTTCTAATTCTCTAAACATTTTAAAGGTAGAGCCGACAGGATTTCCTAACAGATTGATGTAGGATATGATGAAGAATGCAGTTGCCATTCCCTGAAAGAGCAATTAAGAGTCGAGCAGGTTGAGGTCTGGCTAAGGCAGAGTCAGTTAAAACTACAAGGATTTTCAGGACGCCTGGGTGGCTCAGTCAGCTAAGTGTCCACCTTTGGCTCAGGTTATGATTTTTGGGGTCCTGGGATCGAGCCCCACATTGGGCTCCCTGCTCAGCAGGGAGTCTCCTCCCTCTCCCTCTGACCCTCCCCATGCACATGCTTTCTCCCTCCCCCCTCTCATAAATAAATAAATAAATAAATATCTTTAAAAACCGATGACGACAACAACATTACAAGGATTTTCTTTGCCCAAAGCCCTCAAATCATATACTTGTCTACTCATATGATTTATTGTGATGTCTGTCTTTGGCTTCAGGAATATCATATTTTATTCAGTGTTTTGAATTATATGCCTAGGGGCAATTGGTTGAAACACTAGATGCTTTTCGTATATCAGTTGTGGTTTTATTTCCTTCTCACTCTACAGTTGAAACAGCATGAAACATCTTTGTGTCACATCTTTGCAGTTGTCCTTTGTCCCATGCAGGTGACCATTATTCTGGTTCCATAGATTGGGTTGCCTGACATTTTTATTTGGTTAATTGGACAAGTTGTATATTCCGAGTATTGAATCCTTAGGGGATGTGGTGTTTGCCAGCAGTAGGGGCCGTTGAATGGTTTGAATATTGTAAAGCAGAAAGATTACAAAAATATGAAAGAAATAATGTGAAACTCGGGGAAATGGAGTGGAAATCATGAGTAGCCTAGCTGTACTTATTTTGAGTGAGAGGAAACTTTTCTTTTAGATAAAGCCTATTTTATGGTGTTAGGAGCTGGCCAACTGAATTCTGCTGTTTGCACTGTTTCTGCTTTTTATCCTGATGGCATCTTTGGTTTTATCAAAGAGTTGGATTTCCTCCTTATTTCTAAAGAGAAATGTTAGCAACAGACAGAGCTCTTTCTGTGAGACATTCCCAGGTTATAAAAATCTATTATATTCCAAATAGAATTATTAATATTTAAAGCTAGAAGGTTAAAGACAGCATCTAATCCTACCACCTCATTTTAGAGGTGAGGAAATTGAAACTCATAAAAAATTGAGTGACTTGCTTCAAAATCACTGGAAGTTTTGTTTTTTTCATGGTTAGCTATATTTATTTTCAAAAATTCACTGCAATATAATGCACTTACCATAAAATTCACCTTTTTAAAAAGTGTATAATTCAGTAGTTTTTAATATATCCACAAAGTTATACAACCATCACCACTAATTCCATAACATTTTCATCACCCTCAAAAGAAACCTTGTACCCATTAGCAGTCATTCTCCATTCCCCGCTCTTTAGCCCCTGGCAGCCACTGATCTACTCTCTGTCTCTATGGATTTACTTTTTCTGAACATTTCACGTACATAGAATCATACAATACATGGCCTTTTATGTTTGGCTTTTTTCCCTTAGCATAATGTTTTCAAGGTCATACATATATCCATGTATCCCATATAAGCACTTCAATATTTTTTATGGCCTAATAATATTCCATTGTATGGATTTACTGTATTTTTTTTTTAATCTGTACATCAGTTAATAGACATATAGGGGGTACCTGGGTGGCTCAGTCGTTAAGTGTCTGCCTTTGGCTCAGGTCATGATCCCAAGGTCCTGGGATCGAGCCCTATATGGGGCTCCCCACTCAGTGGGAAGCCTGTTTCTCCCGCTCTCTCCCCCTGTTTGCGTTCCCTCCTTGCTGTCTCTTTCTGTCAAATAAATAAATAAAATCTTTCTTTTGACAATTTTTTTAAAAGATTTTATTTATTTATTTATTTATTTGTCAGAGAGAGAGAGCACAAGCAGGCAGAGAGGCAGGCAGAGGCAGAGAGAGAAGCAGGCTCCCCACTGAGCAAGGAGCCCGAGGTGGGACTCGATCCCAGGACCCTGGGATCATGACCTGAACCGAAGACAGTGGCTTAACCGACTAAGCCACCCAGGCATCCCTAAATAAGTAAAATCTTTAAAAAAAAAAAATACACATCTGGGTTTTCTTCCACTTTGGGAAAATATGGGTTGATTAGCTATTTTTTAAGGTTATATATTATCTGGTTTGTGAAAGAAATATAGAAGCACTCACACTAGTAGACACACACATATGCGTGTATGTGTATCTTGAGTCTCTTGGAGTTAGGGGGAAAACCAGTATACTATCCTCTATGAGTAGTAAGTTCAAAATACTGATTTTAAAGTAAGGTTACCACCTTATTTCCCATCCCCATAACTTTTGTTTGTTTTTTTTAGGAATGTCAAATTAGGAAAGTTCAAAGAAATATTTTAGCTATCTTCAGTGGTTTACGGTGATTCAGGAAACGCTGAAATACAGAGGTTAATTTGCATTTCATAGGGTGGTTTGATGGATGCGTGCAACATTCTTTAAGTCTCAGCAAAAAATAAAGGGTTAACTAAGTCAGCAAGTTTTAATTTCTTTGTTTAAAACAAATATTTTGTAATGTTGGTTTCATGTTATAAAATGTATAAAGTCACAGTTTAATCAAGTATGATAAAAACAGCATGTCAGTCAATATATTACTCTTTTGTATTTCAGATAGTTCCCATGATTTTTCCTGAAATCCAAAATGTAAAGAATGTGGTTTTTTTAGTTTATTATTTTTTTTAGTCATCTCTACACCCAACGTGGGGCTCCAACCCATGACTCCAAGACCAAGAGTCACAGGCTCTTCTGAGTGAGCCAGCCAGGTGCCCCTAAAATGTAAAGAATGTTCAATTCACACAAGCCATTACTTTCATTATTGCCACTACTCCCGATGTGGTTTTCATTTCTGTTTTCTTCTTTAAATTGGGAGTCCCAGTCTGGATATCATGTTCCATTCTGAACCTGACCAACCTGACCAGTGGTACATCTTACCCCTTCCTCCCTTGCTTTTAAAGAGATGATACTCCATTGCTACTGTGGCTGTGGCACTTTATTCATCAAGTGCTTATTGTCGATTGAAGTGCAGCCTAGTGTAAATCCCTAGCTGTGAGTAAGCAGGTCTTTATGGAAGCAAAACAGAAAAAAAGCCCTGGGCTGGACACCAGTCTACAAAAGAATGCTGTGTTAGGTAACAGGACTTTTGGCCTTACTAATAATTTTTATTTCATTCAGATAGTCGTTGGATTCTCTGTGTGCCAGAGCCGTTCATAAAAATGAGTGAAAGTTTAGCCCCTCCCCTTGGACAACTCGCAATCCAACAAGGCGATGGGTGCTTGATCTGTTAATAAACTACGAAGGTCTGGTAGAGGCACATGTGATATTGCTACATCAGTCCAGGTTTCTACTCCAGACCTCACGGATGATGTCATCAAGATACTCCAATTCTGCGATCTTAATGGAGTACATATGAAAAGAAGAATAAATAGAGATGAGCACGAATTTCATTTTCTCATTAGCTTGATTCTTATTCCAGAAAGAGACTGGAATAGAGATTCATTTAGCCTCGTTTCACACAAATTATGAGTACTTGGAGTGGGACGTTTTTTGACAGTGAGTTCTAGCAATAACAAGATTTTTTTAAGTAATTGGGATGCCTGGGTGGCTCAGTGGGTTAGGCCTCTGCCTTCAGCTCAGGTCATGATCTCAGGGTCCTGGGATCGAGCCCCACATCGGGATCTCTGCTCAGTGGAGAGCCTGCTTACCCTTCTCTCTCTGCCTGCCTCTCTCCCTACTTGTGATCTCTCTCTCTCTGTCAAATAAATAAAATCTTTTAAAAAAATATTTTTTTAAGTAATTGAATAATTATATTTCTTTATGAATCTTTGAGTCACAGCCTCTTATCTTCATGCTCATTGTTTCGGCTGAGCCAATACAAGCATGAGAATTGTCAAATAAACTTACATTTTTTGCGAAGTAAGAGACCAATGAAAAACTTTAAAATATTTTAAAAGTTGATTTTCCCAACTGATTTTTCTTCTTAAAAAGTGCTACCATCTGACAGGTAGTATTTATTCTACTTGCTCAAAAAGGCAACAATTTTATGTAACTTTTTTGTTAGAACCTGCCTCAATCTTTGATAGCAATCTATTGTTAGACAATTCTTGTTACACAATAACACCCCTTTGTTCCACTGTCCATCAGTTACCTACTGACCACACCAGAGAAGAGACAGGAAGCAATGCCTCTTAGTTGAGCTCCATTTAACACTTCAAGATCAAATGAAAGATTCTGAACAAACACAAAAACACAACCAATTACATGGTTAAATCTGCAGTCACTTTGAGATAGGAATTGCATCATGGAAATAGTTAACTGAAAACCAGACAATTAAGACTTATGTGGAGATGAAAGATAGAAACCGGTTCTGTAATTATGGCTTCATATTAGTTTTATTATTTATATCTTCAACGTGTATCTAAAATCATTTTGCTAATGAAAATTGTTACATCCACTATATAGTAGGCAAGTGACATGAGGAATTGATCCAGAATTACAGCCCTCCTCCAAGGCTCTCATGAACCAAGTATGTAAATTGTACTCCTTGCCACTATCCATATTCCACACCCACCCCTTGCAACATTAAACTGCCAAACACCACCCAGGAACGGATTTCCTATTTCATCATTTAAACCCATTATCTTGTCCCCTTACTATCTTGCCAAACTGGTTTCCCTCCACTTACATTTTTGAGACATGATGTGGCAAGATAACAAGTCTAGACTATATAAATAGACAGTTGGGTCTTCAAGTTGAAGCAGAGGACCAAAAGGCAGTGGTCCTCTTCGTTTGCTGAAAAGAGTACCACCTAAGCTTATAATCTCAAGAGATCCTCTAATTCCAGAGCATTTCCTTTTGTTTTAAAGCGTGCCCAAGTAGTAGTAGTACACAGCAAGCTGTCCAACTGACTGCAAGGCAAAAGACCAGCAGTTTGGGGGGGAAAAAAGAGTGCAGCATATTCTGTTAAAGTTGGAACCTTTGCCTAACTTGCCAATTAGAAAACGGTTGACTTGGTAAAGATGAACCTAATCTCTAGAGTGTGTTTACATGTCCAATGACAGTTGGGATCTTGGAGTTGATATTTTGAGTGAACAAACCAGGGAGAGGGGTTGGGGTGGGGGGAAGCCCTCTCGATTCGCCTCAGAGGGTTTTGTTGGCTCTAACCAGAGTTGTGGAGATGGGAAAGTCTCCACCCATGCCCCCAATTATCTGTCCATCCAAACACTTCAGAATGTTATCTTTTTAAATGTCAGGCATTTGGCCACTGTTCTACAGAGTAAGATTTATCTAGAAATGACTTGTCAAGACAAGCTTGGTGAGTAACTAGGGATAAAAGGTGATGTTATCTCGGAAGGCTGCCATTTAGTGACATGCCCTCATTATGTTATTTAGGTCATGCATCCCCGCTTTAGCATCCTCCCGAATATAGAAGATATTGAGTATGTGTCCTCAGAAAGCTGCTAGTGGTAATTGATAGTGACTTGGTAAAATGTAGACAGTGACTGCGGAGAGCTGAACGGGAAAAGTAGGCTGGTGACATAATGCTTGGGGTGAGTCCTGGGGCTTAAAGGGACAGATTTCTGGGGGGTGATTAGCCCATTAGAGGAGTGACTGAAGACACCAGTATGAATAGTGGTAAAATGGTGGTGGACTTAAAAATTCCCACAGGACTGTTTTTCATTCATGTTTCGCTGTAAAGCTTTCTGATAATAATACAGGGTTGGAAGGGGAGGTGGGAGGGGGAAAGGGGGGCTAACCTGGATTTAATCCCCTCAAAGTTGCTCAAACCAGAATGACTGTTCTCAGTCAAAGCACCACTTAACTGCCTCTCAGATGATTCTAAGAAAAAGTGTCTTTGTAACAGCCTCAGGAACTGATTTCAAATCCCAGGCCTTTGTCTTTCATCTCTCTGTTCTTGGGGCTCTGGGTAGTGCCACATCTGGTGGTGGTTTGTGTGAAAGGAAATAATATATATATAATAGTTTCCTGTTTGGTCATTTAAACCTATCCCTGTGCTGGACAGAATTTGACCCACTTCACTCAGTAACAAAATGTCCTGTCTCTAAAGTGCCCATTATTGGCAACAGCGGGTCAGCCAAAGTGATAGTGCTTTACCACCAGCCCCAAAGCTGCCCAGGCCCCCTATTCTAACCTTTACTGTTTTCATTTACACAAATAGTATTGTTAGTAACTGAACCCGGAACCTGGGACTTATTTCTTTGAAGCATCTAATTACGTTTGACAAGAAACTCCCAAAGTCTAGTAAATATGGTCATTGTCCTTTTATTCCTTTTTGGAGCCAGATTTCATTTTATTCTTGAATTTAAAAACCATCAGCTTTATAATTTATTGTGCAATGACTGGCAACACAAACAAAAACATGCTAATAATAAAATGAAACATATTTAATATTTTGAATTCTCTTTCTTTAATTTGGCTTTAGTTTTCTTGCTCTGACAGTTTTCTTACTTGACAGTCTTGCCCTGGAGGTTTTTTGCTTGTTTACTTGCAGAGGTGACTGTTGTTTTTTTTTCTCTCTGGACATGTCAGTTTGTGGTACTGAATGTCTGAGAGGACCATAGAATTTGTGACATTATTTCTGTATATTAGAATCTCTTCGCACAGCAAACTCTTCAACTACAGAATGATCACTGACCATTCCTAAATCTGTGTATATGTTTGGGGGAAAAAATCTGTTCTGCAACCATCACTTCTTTTTATTCTAGTCTCTTAAGCTAATTTCAATTTCTTCCTCCTTAGAGATGTTAGAAATGTATGGATTTGATACATCATTTTAGTTTGGTTCTGCTGAAATGTTTATGTTAAAACAGAAAGAAATGTTTGTAGTAACACAATATGAATGTGTAGGACAGGAGTGAGCAAACTGTGACCCTTGGGCCAAATGTAGCCAGCAGACAGTGTACAGAGGTTTTTACATTTTTAAAGGGTAGTGGGTTGGGGGGAAAACCAAAGAATATGGAACAGAGACTATAGGTGTCCCACAAAATTTAAAGTATTTACTATCTGGCCCTTTACAGAAAAGTTTGCAGATCTGCAGCTTGGGCTGGCATCATGTGTTCAGGTTTAAAGCCTTAACATTTAGAGCAGCTGGTATCTCTTTGAACTTTAGGCTTGGACTCTTCTGGACTACTGCCTGCTGTACCAGGGTAAATTATACTCTATTTATTCTAGTGTACTATTTAGTTGACTAGATGTTAGTACTATTTATATAATCTAGTGGTTTCCAATTCTGGCTGCATTTTAAAATCATCTGGAGAGCTTTAAAAATACTGTTGCCTAGGCGCCTACCCCAGAGATCCTGATTTCAGGATCTGAAGGAGAACCTGGGCATAGGTGTTTTCCTACATTATTTTCAGAAAGATTGATTCTAATGTTCAAGCAGGTCTGAGAACCACAGGCCTAAACCACTTAATGGTCTATTCATGGATTAACAACTAGACCATATTCTTAGGCAGTTTTTATTCACATTGTTCATTAGAAATATAATAAAGATGAATTATACAAATTGCCCTTTAATTTCAAAACAGAAGTGTTGCTCAGGGAAATTTTAGCTGAGACAACTTTGAAATGTGAGGAGCATATGAAACAGATAATGCAGAGCCCAGAGAAATAGAATTTAAAAGATAGGAACTGAAAGGAACATGCCGGGAAAAAAAAGAAAAGAAAACCACTCAGAATCTCAATACACAAATCACTGAGTAGATTTCTTGCTGTCTGGGTAAGTGTATCTATTTTCAAAAGTGCTATTAACATAAACAGAGCAGTAAATCTGGGGCACCATACTTTTTTTTTTTTTTTAAGTTGTTAAGAAGAATTATATCAGTCTGCAGGTGTCACACGCGGTTACTCAGAATCAGAAAGAAGGCTGATCGGGGGCTAGGAGATCTCCATCTATCTATCTTTTTGCAACCAACCACGTCCAGGCTGTTTATTTAATACTTCCTCTTGCTAATGAAGATACTATACTCGTTGGGGATGGGTCGGGCTTTCCCATCTCAGCATAAGACTGCAAGATTTGAACGTGCCCTGGTGCTGGCTTCACTGACCACAGCAGGTACCCCAGGCAAGAATCTGAGCAGTAATAACAGGTAACAACAGAGTGTGCATCAGATCTCTGACACTTTTCCTTCCAGTTTATTTCCTTTTTCTCCCTCATTTACCACCGTGTTCTTTTCCCTCTTCTTTTTACATTTTTCCAAACCAGCAAGTGCGGAGGCAAGACACATCAAAGCAGAGATGGGAAGTGAAAGAGCTCTCGTTCTGGACAGATTAGCAAGCAATGTGGCAAAACGAAAAAGCTCAATGCCTCAGAAATTCATTGGTAAGAATACGACCCTTTTTCCTGTTGTTGTTAGTAGATAGTTTAAATGAGATAACGTAGGATGCTTATATACTACACAGGCCCTTAATCTCTGTTAAAATAAGATCATTGGTTTTCCATTGTACACGTTTATTCTTCGTGCTTCATTTTGATAACTAGGGCAAATAGAACAAAATATTTTAACTGAATAGTCTTAACTCCTGATGGTGGGAGTATTTGACATCCAATTTCCTAAATGGAGTTGGTGTTAAAAATGCTGTTCCTTCCTCTTTATTCTGAATGACATATGTTGCATGAAAGAGTTTAGGCAATTGACACCAGTAAGATGTTTGAGATAGCATTTTTGTAATCTTTTGTAATTATATTTTACAAGTGGGTTCTGTAACCATGCCCCAACTTTTTTCATGTTCTAAAACTAATTGCCATACTTTCCCTTTTTCTTTTTCATACTTTCTTGAATTTAATTGAGGATTGGCTTTAAGAGAAAGTTGGGAAAACATAGATTTAAATAACAAGTCTGGATTCAATCATTTGTCTCACTGGAGTTAATTTTTTTGCCACCGGTTTTCACATTGTCAAACAATACAGCAGAATGAAATGGCAAAGAAAGAATTATATTCTTTAAAGTGTTCAGGCTGCTGAACGGCAGAAATGTTTTGCCCAGCTCTCCCAGATGTTTACATAAATGTGACCATGGTATTTAAAATAGATTTGTATTTGTGAAGGGGGCAGCTGAATTGAATGTATCAGTTTTGCTATAAACTGAAATTTGGTGATATCGAACAAAAATAGTTATCACACAAAAATAGATCTCCCTCAAAACCAGTAGAATTTTAGAAACCTGTCAATCTCTTTTTCCAAAGCTATTTGGTGCTGCTGATGTCTTACTACAGTCCTTTTGTGCTTAATTCTTTTCAGTAGCTTTTATAGATACTAAGTACCTGCCTAGTTTTTAAATCTGGTTAAATTTTATTCTGGTCTAGATCTTTTTTTACAAGCAAATATTTTATATGCGTTATAGAGACATATTGAAAGAACTAATATATTTTTAAATTACCTAGGTAAATATTTATGCTTGTTTAAGTGCTTATGTCTTATTTATTTTATTGTGATTAGCTGGGGAGTTTTGTATCCTTTTAATCCCTTAAAGAATTGTGTCAGACTAAATAAAGTTGGTGCATTTCAGTTTAGAGAGACACACCCCTCCACCCCCCACCCCTGTTACCATCTTCCCCCTCCTTTGTGAGAAATGTCAGGGGGCATGTAGTGATCTTCATTTGGGGTTTAGGAGCAGTGGATCAAGTGGGCCAATTGTGATTCCAAGACATGTTCTTAAGACATTGCTCATACATCTTTTGATTTCCACTTCTGTGAAGAAGTTCTGACTAGAGTCAGAACAAAGGAAAGTAGAGGTTTTTATTCTATGAGTGTAATTTACTTTGTAATTTGATTTGGGGAAAGTTTTGACTCTAGAAATGGCTGTGCTTGATGTGGAGAGGGACATGGGGAGAAATGGGCAAGGAGAAAAAATGTGAAGTGACTCAATTTCAATGGAATTATGGTCAAGGCTCTTTGGTCTAAGAGAGCTAACATATGAAAGAAGATGCTTGGTTCCTGTAACTGTCCTACACCTATAGTTCCTTTGTTGTTGTTTTGTTTAGTTTTTTAAAGATTTTATTTATTTGACAGAGACGCAGCGAGAGAGGGAACACAAGCAGGGGAAGTGGGAGAGGGAGAAGCAGACTTCCAGCTGAGCAGGGAGCCCAGTGTGGGGCTCCATCCCAGGACCCCGGGATCATGACCTGAGCTGAAGACAGACACTTAATGACTAAGCCACCCAGGCACCCCTGTTTTGTTTTAAGATTTATCCACTTATTTGATAGAGAGCACAAGCAGGGGGAGCAACAGGCAGAGGGAGAGGGAGAAGCAGGGAGGCCTGATGCAGGGATCCATCCCAGGACCCTGGGATCATGACCTGAGCCAAAGGCAGACATTTAACCAACTGAGCCACCCAGACGCCCCTGTCCTAACCTATAGTTGAGCTGAAACCCTACTTAATATAATAAAATTTGCTGTGGTATTTTCATGGGTTTAAGAAAACACATTTCCTATGTCCAAGTCCATGCCATTCTGCTTGTTGCTTCAGGGATCTGTTCCATTTGTTACCCTTGTAAGCAGAGGATTTTTACGCCTTCATTTCCAGACTCAGGAGAGATGCTTACAGGTGCTGATGTCTCTCATCTTCGGAACCATTATGTTCTCTCTATGCTGGAATCAGGAAACCCAGTAAGAGTTAGCTCTTGATTTAAGCTGAGGTAGCAACTTCAGGGCTTCAGGGCCCTGAGTAACCAGGGGAAATTTTGTTTGGTAAATTGTGGTATTGCACAGTAGGAAGAACACTGGATTTGAAGCCAAATGACCCAGGTTCTGATTCTAGCTCAGTCATTTCTTAACTATGTGTGTTTAGACAAATCACATAACCTTTCTGGGCCTCTGTTTACTCATCTGTGAAATGAGGAGACTAAATAGGTGATGAGGTGATCGGGAAGGTCCCTTCCAGCTCTATCATTCTACAAGTCTGCAAGATGAATTAGCAAAGGCTGCAATTATGAATACCATTTTGTGTTTCTAAGCCCATATGTGTAGATTCAGGTAACTGTTTTCTCAAGGTTATACAGGCAAGATGTTTATGTTATGAACCATGTCATATACTTTAGGGTTTTTTTTGTTTTGTTTTGTTTTTTTTAGGAAGGTATGGTTAAATCTGGGAATCTGTAAAACAGCTGCATTAGCCCAACATTCATCTCTTTTACTGAGGGCATTACTGCTTGTTCATTTGCTCTCTCACCCATTCATTCCCTTCAGGAAGTGGCGACAGCGCTCCCACCATATCCACGATGTTCTTGTTCCTGAGCCCTGTTCTAATCTTTTGGAATTAGCTTATAATCTTTTGAACCTTCCTTTTAGAGATCGTTTTCAAATAAAGGAAACCCCTTGAGTCACTTAATAGAATCAACCTTTTTGATAGAAAACAGTAATACTGGGGAGAGAGAAGGAGTATTTTGACCCTGAATGGGATAAGAGCTGCAGAACATACAGGGCTACTGTTTTCCCTCCTCTTCTCTTCTGTCTCCTGTATCTCCTCTCCACGGCACCATCTTCTGAAAAGATTCAGCTGCCAGAGAAATGGCAAAAAGTAAAGTGTGAAGGAAGAATGAGTCACTCCCTTTAATCCTTGCTGACAGTTGCACACCATTCAGACCAACCTTGGCTTCCCTGACCTCTTGAACTATGAGGGTAAAGGTGAAATTATGCCTTCAGGGCAGCCTGCTACTTTTTCAGCAGGCTCAAGAGAATTACCAGTAGGTAGCATTTTTCACACATTAGAAGTGAACTGAGGAAGAGAGACAGATTGGGTTAAGTCTAAGTGCATTTAGAAACACAAAAACACTCCTCTATTGAAGAGTAAAAGTAAAATTAAATTGCCCATGTAGACGAAAAATAAAATCCTTTCTTTCCTAATTCTCCAAGAAATTTTGTTTCATCTCTGTGTTTAGGACATAAATTGACATACCTTCATTAGAAATCAGCATCTTTACATCATCAAAATAATTCTTCATTGCTCTTTTCGAAGGACACAATGGCTCACTTTTAGCACCTAACCCTTTTAAAAGTTGTCCTTTCTCTGCATCTTATTCTCCTATTATAAACTTGTTTGACTAGACTTCTAACTAGGCCATCTTCAAATACTTGGCTCAAAATAGAGGCCAGATTTCTCTCCTGGAGGGAGGAGGAAAATGACTACATTTCTGCATATTTCTTTTTCTGATTTTCATTCTTTCTCCAAAAACAGATGTGTTATTCCGACCAAAGTGGTTACCATAGCATCTCCTTATTATTTTTAATTTTATGTATTATTTTATTAAAGGAAGTTTTCATGTTGAAAAGAACATGAAAAAAGATCTCACTCACCCGCGGTAAACATGTTAGTGAGGTTTTGACACTTCAACAAACACCATCAATTCTCCCTGTGAAGTAACTAATGAGAAATTGTCTGCTTTGGTTAACAGAGCGACAGGAAACAGTTTGAATACCCATTTCTAACAGCAGAAAGTATCTTCTACTACCCTTTCCCGAAGGGCTGAAATTATAATCCTATAAGTACTACAGAATCATAACGTTTTAGAGCTTGAAGGGATAGCAGGAACACCCAGCAGAGGTCTTTTTCCAGGGAAGGAGGGAGGATTGGAGAGATGGAGAGATGCACCTAGTGGGTGACAGAGCAGGGTAAGGACCAAGGCCTAGGACAAGCTACAGTCCAAGGCCTTCCTTCCCTGGGAGGTCACCCTGAGCAGCATGTGTCATGTGTGCTACACCAAGGCTCTAGACAGAGAGGAATGTAGTCACTGAAAGCTGGTGGAAGAAAAAGCCCCTGAAGAAAGGCAGTCATTTCCCACCCAGAGGGTGTATTTTCCTGAGAAAAATAGTTTTCCCCTGGTGACTCCGTCGGAACCTGTGACATCCAAATAGCTCGTCTTGTAGATGACAAGGCTTCTGCCGCAATAGAACATGGTCTTCACCTCAGTTTTCCTCACCTCCCCACCCCACGGCTCTCTCTGTGTTTGCTCTCCTTCCTGCCTATTCTGTGGCTCCCTTCTACTTTCCTCCTCCTGGAAGAAATGTTGGTCACATTACTCTCATTTAGCTTGAGAGCAGAGCCATCACCTCACAGATATTCCATTTACCTTCCTGCCTGGCCCCCAACTCTTTTGGGGCATGAGCTTATAGTAAGATTAAGCGATAGTGCACATAGGATATGGTAGGAAGGTACAGTTCAGGGACACCTGGGTGGCTCAGTGGGTTAAGCCGCTGCCTTCGGCTCGGGTCATGATCTCAGGGTCCTGGGATCGAGTCCCGCATCGGGCTCTCTGCTCAGCGGGAAGCCTGCTTCTCTCTCTCTCTCTCTCTCTCTCTCTCTCTCTCTCTCTCTGCCTGCCTCT